GCTGGGGGGTTGGGGCGGGGGGTCTTTCATTTTTAATCATGGATTTTGGGGTTTTTATCAGAGAATTTGATATTCTTTTTATTAGGGAAAACGAGGATTCCTGATCATCACATAAAGCACAACACACATTTTTTCCTCTTAAAAAGAAACTAGAACCTTTACTGCTATGCTAGGTGACTATGGCTATATTATTTAGTAGTACTTGTTAGTTTTCCTTATATATTTTTTTAGGAGTAAATCCCTTGGATCATCTTTTCAAGTATTCTTAACACCCTCTCATAATCTTGCCTTGTAAAATAAAATACATGTATTTGTGCTTTCAGGATATGTTGCACAGTCACAGTTTAACCTGCATTGGCACAGCTCTTGTACAGTATGACTTGTTTGTAAATCTAGACAAGAGATAAGAATTTCTCTCGCTTTCATTCGTTTTTATGCTATGGAATACAAAGGTCCTAAAATGACAGTTAAAGAGAATAGTAGTAGCAAAAAGTTTAAAACAGGAAATGAAGCATTTGAACTCATGTGGTAAACATTTCACAAGTGCTTAATTCTGATTTTAAAAAGTGAATTAGGTACCCAAATCATACTGAGGTGAAATAAAAAGTGCTTTTTTGAAATTTCACTCATAACCTTGGGAGATCACAAGAGCAACCAGCTGTGGACATGTTTGTCTTCTGAGAGGTACAAGAAAGGTTGAATGGAAAAATGAATAGGCTTTATTACTTGTGTCCATTCTGTGTATACACAGGAACCAGACACAGTCTTGTCAACATAATTACTGAGAACGAGAGACTAATGCAGACATAATTACATTAGTAAAACAAGGATATTGATCCAGAGCTTTGTATTTCCATGTAAGAGAAGCTGCAATGTCTTGGAGGAAAATACTTCCTCATTAGAGGTAGAGCTCATTTGTAGCCTCCTTTATACCCTTCAACATATTAATTGGATTGATTAATGATGCTTTGTACTGCCATAGGGAACACTATGGACCTTGACAGATGCTAAATTTATGGTGCAATTGAAGTGTTACTTGTGCCATAAATTGTAACATGTTACACCTTAAAGCCAATTTATGGCATGATACCATAACAAGCCACAAAGATGTTGCAGATACAATATTCAATGTCTTTGACTGGTTTGTATCATGTCTTAAATTGAACATGTAGCATAGTGGCCCTTGCCATATCCCAACATTGATCTGAGCATTGGGACTGGACATGAGGCAGTCCCAGTATCCAGGATATAGCTGTCCCCTTCCTGATCAGTGTGATGAGGTTGGGAGCAGCCCTTGCTCCTGACCTCAGCTTATGGTGCCCCCCACCTTTAAAAAGTGACGTGCGGTTCCGTAGGTGTTGTGA